GGTTTAAAAGATGTGTGAAAGTCGGTCAATATATGGGGTCTCACTTCCTCAGTGGTTAGAGCCACGGTACATGTATGCCAAAGACCCTGGGTTGAGTCCCTCTTGAAACTTGATTTTTCACCACCTGTTACATTTGGCACCCAATATGATAAGAATATAAAAAAAAATCCTGAATTTTCCTGTATATTCCTCCATGAGATCTTTCATATGCACCTACCATCCTTGGCATGATCTGAACAGAGTTGAATCCATACTACTGTTTGCCAATCAATATGACTAATTGTGGCTCTGCTATTTCTTGATATTTTTTTTTTCTTAAATATGTAACAGGAAAGGAGAAAAATCTGACAGACCAGACAGGGATTCAAACTCGGGCCCCCTGAATCTCCAGTCAGAAGCTTTACCAACTGAGCTATCGAACCCACCTGACCTCCACAAATATTTCTACTAGTAAATTAAAATAAAAATATTCTTTTGGATGTTTTCAACAGTTTAAATTTTTCCAAGGTAAGGGGCTGACATAGGGCATAGGGCTGGTGATTCATAACAAGTTTCTTTTGTGCTAAGCAGATGATTATCATAGAGTCAGAGACTCCCCATGGAAGGGACACCAGATCATCAGAGGTTTATTACTTCAACTCTCAGTATACCAGTACTCATTTTCAGCTGGGTGAACTGAGACAAATAAGACATAAGAAGCTTTAATTAATTAAGGTGTTCAATTCCTAATTGGACAAAATTCTCTATCTTTAAATATCAATCTGATATAAAATACTCTTGCATTCATCTAAGTAGGGATTGATATGAGGAGAGAATTTTCAAAAATGTTACTACCTCATAAAGATAATCTCATTTTAATCAATATACCCCTGTAATCTTATATACAGGTACTAAGAATACAAACAAATGTTGTAATGAAAAAAAAGTAATTTAATTATTATTAGGAATAACACTACAGTTAAACTACTGGATAATGACTCCCATCATCAGTTTGATTAAGTGCATCAGATTTAACAATTTATGGGAGGAGAGACTACATCAAACCATTTAATTATTAACATTTTACATTTTCAGGGAGGATTTATTTATTGTATCTGTATTCATTTTGTGCCCTTTCTCTTACTTTTTCCCCCCTGCCTTTGATTTCTACTTTTAAGACATTGGTTGTAATAAATTATCGTCTTAAGCACCATGTTTCTAACAGAAATTTTACAATCAAAATGTCGCTTTGTTAAATTAAGCTGTTTTAAATAAACAATATTGGTCTGGATATCAAATGTTCATCAAATCCATTATTCATAGTATGTAGTCTTGACATATAACTTCAGAATGAAAAGAAGGTCATTCATGAATCACAATAAAATGATGTAATCTATTTTGCTTTAAGTGTAGCATAAAATAGCTACAAAGCGATCGAGTTGTCTTCGAGAAGGTGGCAAATTGTCCAAATAGTGGCCAAGTTCTTTGAATCAAAGGTGATTGTCAATGTGAATTGTTCTACAGGAGAGCTGTCTTAGGGGTGACTTGTCCAGCATTGTAGTGCACGTGCAAGCTGATTTTACAACATATTATCTGGTTATATATTTCCTTAGTTTATATATTCAGTGTGGACCCTGAGGTTCATGCATAAACTCCAGACTGAAGTTTAATAATTGACTGTAAAGAAGATTAAACTCCTCATTCCCATCCTAACAATAATTCACTGACATTGTATCTACTTATTTAGTTTACTGAATGTCTCCCATGCCTATATCATAACTGAACAAAGCCAGATATCTATAGACATGATGACTACTTAGAAATGTAAAACAGTCAAAACACATATTATCAACTTACATACATAACTTTGTTGGATAGTTATTATTATACTTGTACAAAGTGGTCATCTAATGATTCATCATCAGTTATCATACATGTAGATACTGATTCAGGATATATTAATGAAAATTAGTTGAAGGGAATCCTTCTATAACCACAAAATATGATGAAAAACTGCTTTAAATTCATAATTAATTGCAGAGAATTTTAATTTAATAAACACTTAAGCACCTGTTTGGAAAAAATCACCAGTAGTCCTAAATTATATGAAAAAGGTCAGTGCTTTTCAGTATTATAAACACAATAGAGGAAATTCGCGTCACAACTTTGTTTCGAATTAGCATTAGACTTGTGTGATCAAGATTTAAATTTATTCTTGCTTACAATTAACTTATCGCTAATAAAAAAAGATAATTATTCTTATTTTATCTTTTAAAACACTGTCTTACTTACAATAAATCGACTTTACAAATCATAATACATGCCGATTCGTATGCGGTTGCCTATTATTGCCTAATAAAAGTTGGATGCCGATCTCGACGATTCAAAATATAATTCCTTGTACAATTCTGTTGTTGCCTTTTTTTCAATAAGAGGTTAGAAACTGTCTAAATATTTAATTGAATTAGTCAAATTGTCCGACTTCTCACGTACGAGATGAAGATAAACGAAGCCCACATGCCGATCGCGATGTCAATTAAGAAATGACCATACACTTATTTTCAGGATTTTTGAAGTAAATATTGAATAATACAGAATTGTTCAAGAGTGTTATAACTTTTTTTGCTTCAAAATGTTTCATTTTAAACACCAATAACATCTATATTACGTGGTTATAACTATCTTTGGATATAATTATACGAGTGACGAATTGCAAGGCTACCGCTTGGGATTTCTATTTTTAGAGCGACTCTGAGCACTAGCGACAGTTTTCACTGGTACACCGGTATATAATTGTTGTATCGAAAACGTCTTTTACGGTGAATGACGTATTCTATCATAAATAATTAAGTTCCTGTGTTCAATCAATTGCAAATTGGAATTAAACAATATCATTGATTTCATGAAAAAAGTTAAGTCTGCTCGAATGTTCTTTCAGAGTGATAAAGTATTTTCATAACAGGTGCCCTCTAGGAATCCATAACCAAGCTATCGTTGAAAAATCAAGTTTAGAAACAGGCTCCCATCTGGAATCCATATTCAAGCTTTAGAGTTTTTTTTTATTAACAGCTATGGAATGATAAAGTAATTAATAGTGTTGTCAACGAGTACCCGGTTAACCGGGTAACCATCGAACGATGCGGGTATCGGTTAGTAAAACTGCTACTAGATTACTCGGATATATAAAATTTTACAGGAAAAAATGTAATTTTGTTTTTAAATTTCCATATTTTATTTGCCATTATTTAAAGATAGACTCGACCTAGTGTTTTACAAATACGATCCATTTGTTTTGATAAGTATTTCACAGTTAATCTAATTGGTGGCTTTCATTGCCAAGGGGTATACAAGTTTTGAAGGCTTGTGTTAATTATAATTACTTCACACAAATCTGCGTTAGTCTGTAGCATAAAATTAAAGAGGACGCCGTCATATGCATCAAATAATTTTAAATTTGACTGAATTTAAATTCGTAAGGTGTACAATATTTGAAATGGATTTATCAAATATCAACACATATTAACATGTGGGACAACACATATGTTAAATCACCTAAGATTGAAATTTAACCATGAAACAAGCGATATATAACAGTGTATAAAGGACATACTGCAAAACAGCAAACTATTACGATGAGGTTCGAGAAAAAAATATTTAGAAGATATATAATGTTGTGAGTTTGTAATTAAGAATAAAGTTCATAAGCAGTGCATTTGTGTTTTATATATACCGATATACAAATGATGTTAAGATTTATATAGAAATGGTAACGACGTTTCATATAGAAAATGTATTTCAGTTACCATTTAACATATATACCGCGAAAAATGATAATTTGAGATCCCAAGAAAAACCATCCGAGTAACCGGTTACTCGATCGAAAAAGTAAGCGAGTAACCGATTACTAAAAATCGTCCGATTTGACAACAATAGTAAATAATTCTATCATCAAGCAATTCATGTACGTATTCAGTCTGCCGATCAAGTTCAACATTCTCATTTAACAGTATAGCAGGAAAAAAAACACTGACCTTTATATGATTATTCGTGTAAATGGTGTACAAAATAAAATTTTGATTTATCGATTGAAAATATCTTTAAATAATACTGTAAGCTATTAAAACCCTTAAAGAATGAGAAACAATTCAGATTTAGTCAATGTAACAATTTCAACAAACCTTAGAAAGGTGAAATAAATACTTTATGCATTTCATTGATACAATACATTCATAAAAAAGTCATTTCTTTATCAAGTTTGCCTTTTCTTGGCAACATTGTAAATTGAAATCGATAAATCCACTTTGCGCTGTTCAGTTCTTTTTCAGAAATGAGTTGTAAAAATTCTGTCTACCTTATACATTTTACAAATTCCACATTAAATGCACTCTACACTTAAAGTTTAGTGTGTACAATTAAAAGAGAGAATATTATTTTATAAAATTTATGAGCCTAAACAATAAATTAACAACATATGTTGAAATATACTTTCATTCATGCATACAATCATACATACATACATACATACATATATATATATATATATATATATATATATATATATATATATATATATATATATATATATATATATATATATATATATATATATGAAAGGAACATTTAAACCTACAATTCACATTACTTCACTCAGTTCTTAACATCATATCACAATGTACTCTGATTTGAATGTTTTTCAATAACACTTTACTAAGTGCCTAATAAGTTCATCTATGATAAGCCTTTAGTTAAGTGGCGTAAAATGAGGAAGAACTTGCGGAAGGAATTTAGAAAAATTGAGTTTATTTTTAATTTACATGCATTGCATACGCACGAATTTGAGCTCAGTCCCAAACTTGTGCCATGTCAAAAGAGCTCTTTGTCCTACTTTCACTTTACATTTTCTACCTTAATTTTAATGTTACAGAAAGTTATAGATATTTGTACCAAAAATAAATAATTAAATAGCTTACAAAATATCAATCATCGTGAAACAACTAGTTTGGGCTTTTGTTAATGAAATATATATGATAAGATATAAAAATTTCATTAATATAAATTTGATAAAAAAAATTTCGAACAAAAAAATTTGCAATTATCTTTTTTTTTTTTATTGTGTTAAAGCTAATGTTGAGGTCGTGCAAAGCTGTATCTAAGATTGTCTAAGGTACTACTCGCGAACTTTAAGGCACTAATTCTATTCATCTTGTTCTTAATGACAGTCTGACACTTCCGTAGGGGGTTTGTAGGATTCTCAACCCCCGGAAACTGGCCCTGGGCGCCACCCCTTGCTTCCTCATCGTCACTAAAGTCAGGTGGTGGCATTTCTTCCACATCTAACAGACCGGATAAATTGTACGACAAACCGTTAGTTTTCCGTCTGTTAAGCATGTCTTTTTTAAGTTTAGTTTTCATCGAAGGTTCACTTCTGAGAAATTTGTTTGGCATCAAGAAACTGGTTCTCTTCTTTTTACTTTTACTTTCCGTTTCATTGTCTGGTCTTGTACTCACTGTGCCACTCTGTTCCACATACCCTTCTCCATCACTATTATCGCGATAAATATCCGAATTGCTTGGTGGTTTTCTTGGAAGCGGGGGTGGTTTCTTTCCTTTCTTAGGTTTATAATGAAAACCATTGATATGAGCAGAGGACGGCGGTGCAGGGGGAAGCGGAAGTTCCTTAATTTCTGCCTCACTCGATCTATCATTTGTAAGAGGTGTTTCTTGTTTTAGATAATCAGATGTGTCTCCAGGAAAAAGAAAACTTTTACGCACGTTAGGAGAGGGGGAGTTTATAGGAGGTAAAGGTTTATTTTTGACAATTGGAGGCAAATGATTCTTAGAATACTTGACTCCTGAAAACCCTGTCTTTTGCTTACTCAAACTTGAATCCGATTTTCCCTTGCCTTTTGCTTTTAAACTAAGTACATCGTATGAGGTGAAATCCTCAAACGGTGCATTTGGTTGATTCATGGTTCGTGGGGCTTTGGGAATACCAACTTCCTTTGGGGTATGCTTCGTTCTTGGCATCAGTCTAGCTGTATCAGAGATTTGTGCATACGGGTTTTCAGAATTCTCTGGGAAGAATCCACTTGTTTCTCCGCAAGTAACACGTGGTTCACAGGGAGGTGTTCCTTGAGCATTACATTGCCTCCTCCCAGACTGTTCCTCTCTGTAGGAAGCCTGTCGCTGAGATGCATCTGTATAAACAAAGAATTTTCCTATAGATATTTCTTTGAAGATGAAAATTAAACAAGAAGTCAAGGGGGCAAAACGTTCACCTGAGTCAACTTTGACCTGTTGATTTTCAGAGGATTTTTAAAAGATTTATTCCCCTGTTTATTCCCATGAAAAAGCCAAACCATTAGCCCAAAGGTAATATGAATTAATCAAATTTGAATCCAACATATGGGTGCTTCAATATCAACATGACTAAAATGATCTTTCTGTTCTGGAGATGAATTATTAAAGCATTCTCTCCTCTACATATTTTATACCCGATTTTAGCATCCGTAGGGTCCGTAATTCAAAAAGAAAAAAAAATTGAGTTCATATCACTTAGGAATGTTTGCACATCATTATGATTCATTATAGTCCAGCGTTTCTTGAAAAAAAAAAATTGTGAACGTTCCCATGTTGAACTGCAACCCCCTTTTGTAGCCGTTGTACCTATTGCGACCATGATTTACACAAACTCGTATACACACTATCTGACAATATTAGTATTAATATGGCTAATGATGTCCCTGCTGTTCTTGAAAGGAAGATTTTTAAAGAGTTTTTTTTAAAATGCATATCCTTGTTAACTTTAATTCCTTATGTGGCCCAAATCTTCACCTTGGGGTCATGAATCACTATCGGAAGATGCTTGAATATTGATATGACTAATGAAGTCTACGCTGTTCCTGGGAAGAAAATTTAAATTTTTTTTCTTTGCAAAAAAAAAAAAAAAAAAATGTAATCCACACAACTTTGTTAAGAGAAAGTTTGCATATTATTATAATTTAGTTTGGCTCCTTTTTTAAAATAAAACTTTCTATGCTTTATATATTACCCCGTTAAATTCATTCCATTATTGTTTCCTAACCACCTCTTGCGACCATGATTCATGCATATTAACATGACTAATCATGGACCTGCTGTTCTGGAGAAAAACTAAAGAAAATATTTTTCTTTGAAAGAAAATACCATCCGGACAAAATCGATTCCGCACTATTTAATGGTACTTGCATGTTAACATGACAAATCCTGACCCCCCTGTTCTTGAGAAGGAGATTTCTTAAAAAGGTTTTATCTATGCATTCCCACATTGAAAATTGACAATATCTATGTGGTTTTTGGAGACCAGGTCTTCCAACAATCTGTTGTATATGCACAGTGAATTGTCGGCGGATTTTTCCGTTATTTCCCTACCATGACAAGGAGCACACGGCGGGTGTGACCAGTCGGCAGGGCATGCTCACTCCTCCATGGCACCTGATCCCACCTATCCCACTTATCGAAACGGTGACTCTTTATTTGATATTTTTTGAGGTCCGTGTTTACTCTTTTCCCGATTTGTATTGTTTAAATTGACTTTAAGCTTGAATACTGTTCGTTATCTCCATATTTCACGTTAAACGTTGGTCCCTTATCATTGTGGTCCCATCCTACACCTGGGGTTAATGCTTAGAACAAGCACCTGAGGATGTTTACATATATATGTCACTAAACATGGACCTGCTTTTCTTGAGAAGAATTTTTTTAAAAAAATTCTTCTTATATATTTCCATGTTAAACTCTTATTCCCTTTTGTGACCCCAATAAATTCCCGAAGGCCTTGAGCAAATTTGAATATGCACTATATGAAGAATGTTGCTTATCAATACGGCTTAACATCGCTTGGATGTTCTTAATAAAAAGGAATTTTAAAGATTCTCTACGTATAATCATGTAAAACTTTGAAGCCTTTTTGTGACCCCATCCTACCCCAGGGCCATTATTTGAACAAAGTATATTTTCCACTACCCGTGGAAACCTGTTTAATAACATGATTAATCATGTATTGTGTGTTTTTCCTATGTTTGTTCTCCTTTGAGGTTCCACCCAAACACTATTGAAACAAACACAACATCTTAATCTACGCTTTCTAAGGATACATATCTTATGTGTATTAATTAAACTAATCATTAATATGATGCTGTTCTTGAGGAGATTTTAAAAAAAGTTATCCTGTGTATATGCACGTAAAACTTCCATCTCTTATTATGACCCCATCCTACCGAGGGGGTCATGATTTAAATAAAATTGAATCTACACTACCTGAGGATGCTTGATATAACTATGACTTTCCTGTTCTTGAGAAGATTTTTAAACATTTTTTCCTTATACATTGTATTTCCATGTTAATCTGTGATCTTCTTTCGTGGCTTCACTCTACCACGGGGGTAATACTTAGAACAAATTTAGATCTACACTATGTCACAAAGCTGTCATGTCAGAGAAAATGTGAGCTCAGGTGAGCCAAACTGAAAATTTAAATACTAAAATAAAAAAGAGGAAGATTTGTTGAATTCAATGTAAAAGAATACCGAGGATGATATCATTGTATCCAATTATTCATGTCATATGTAGAATGGGAAAGCCAAAGAGAACAAACAGTGATCTAATTCATAATTGCTAGAAACAATACAAATCGAAAAACAGGGCGAAAATACGGGCCCCTTGAAAGAAGTAAGATTAAGTGCCTGGGAGAAGTAAGTATTCCCTGTCAACCGATCAGAAAACGAGTGATTTGTAATCAAAATTTGTTTGAAAATATTTGCATCACGTTTGGTATAAGATAGGCTGTATATGTATTTTGAAATCCAGCTCATTACAACGACCATAAAATTTGCAAAATGCTGACTTTAAACGAAACTTACAACCCCTCTTACATAAACATATATTTGTCATCAGCTACCTATACCTTTTCTAATATAAAGTATTAGAAAAACATGCTTTTGTGAGCTGAATAATTCAGGAGACATAGACATCCCTTTTGACATTTAACTGAAGTATTAGTAGGTCTTTAACGTTAATATTCAGAGAGACATCCAATTATCCAAATATGAAATAGGTGTCAGATTCTGTGGTGTCTAGTTCACTGGGATATTTTGAGCCTACATGAATGAAGCACTTCGTAAATTTTTAAAAGTTCAGCTTAGTCGTAAATCGAAACCTTGTCTCAAATACTACTGATTGTTTTTTCCTGTTGTCTGTTGTTAGCGTTCTTATATGATATGTTGAGTGTCATATAACTAACATGTATATTTATCACTATACTGTGAAAAAATAACATACTTTCGTAGGGTCAAATTTTCGAGGTTTGAGGATAAATTTTGGTTCGGGGGATTCGATTTCGTGGTTGAAGAAGGTTTGAGTAGTTATGTACATGAATTTTACATTTCGTAGTGGAGATTCATTGGTCTCTTCATACTTGAAATATGAAGATAACGAGCAGTATTCAATCTCGAAAGTCCAATGAAACAATACAAATTTGGAGCAGAGCAAACACGGACCTCAAAATTTAGAGGTGGGATCAGGTGCCATAAGGTTCCAAAAAGGTATCATAAAAACGTTCCAAAACAAAGCAAATTAACCCCCCCCCCCTCCGCACACACACAAATCGGTGATTTTACAGTATTTATAAATCAATTATGCATTGAGTTGATATGTTAGTTTTCGGCATGTTTCAGCTGGTTTATTTCTTTGTGTACTATGACAACTTTATGATATCACTCATGTCTAAACTATCCATATTCCGCATTCTTAAAATGTAAAGATCAAACAAGGCTCTTATAACAATTCGGTAATCTAAATAAAAACGGGTAAAATAAAGAAAATTACCTAACCTGTAAGTGAAACGTTCTCGGGGCTATTTAGAAAGTTCTATGACAAATGGTTATCTTGAACCATTTTACTATATTGTGTTTGTAGGTTTTGTTTACTTACTATTAATATGCTTTGGTTCATATCCCTCCCTTACTTTCCTGTTAAATTATAA